ATTTAAAATACAGAATTTTTTTGTCTATAATACTTAAAACCAATAAATTTTTTTTTAAATGAATAACTGCCCATAATTGCTCACAAAATGTTTTATTTAAATCCGCAAATGCTCACACTATTAATAAATTATTTAATTATTTATTAAAAATTTAAAATACAAAATTGTTTTTTCTTACACCGATCAGCTTAATGAATATGCGCTCATAATTGCTCACTTAATGCTCAATTCAAATCTGAAATTGCTCACTCTATTAATTAATTATTTAATTACTTATTAAAAATTTAAAATACCAAATTGTTTTTTCCTAAACCAATTAGATTAATGAATAAGTGCTGATAATTGCCCACTAAATGCTCAATTCAAATCTGCAATTGCTCACACTATTAATTAATTATTTAATTAGTAATTAATAATTAAATGTACAAAATTGTTTTCGTCTATTATACTTAAAACCAATAAAAAAAATTTAAAATGAATAACTGCTCATAATTGCTCACTAAATGCTCAATTCAAATCCGCAAATGCTCACACTATTAATAAATTATTTAATTATTTATTTATAATTTAAAATACAAAATTGATTTTTCCTACACCGATCAGATTAATGAATATGCGCTCATAATTGCTTACTAAATACTCAATTCAAATCTGCAATTGCTTACACTATTAATTTATTATTTAAATAGTTATTAATAATTTAAAATACAGAATTTTTTTGTCTATTATACTATAAACCAATAAACTTTTTTTAAATGAATAACTGCTCATAATTGCTCACAACATGCTTAATTGAAATCGGCAATTGTTTACACTATCAATTAGTTATTTAATTATTTATTAATTTAGCAAATGCGGATTTGAATTGAGCTTTTACTGAGCAATTATGAGCACTTATTCATTAATCTGAGTGGTTTAGGAAAAAATAATTTTGTATTTTAAATTTTTAATAAGTAATTAAATAATTAATTCATAGTGTGAGCAATTGCAGGTTTGAATTGAGCATTTAGTGAAAAATTATGAGCGCATATTCATTAATCTGGTCGGATAAGGAAAAAACAATTCTGTATTTTAAATTCTTAATAAATAATTAAATAATTTATAAATAGTGTGAGCATTTGCGGATTTCAATTAAGCATATTGTGAGCAATTATGAGCACTTATTCATTTTAAAATTGGTTTATTGGTTTTAAGTATAATAGACAAAAACAATTTTGTATTTTAAATTATTAATAAATAATTAAATAATTTATTAATAGTGTGAGCATTTGCGGATTTAAATTAAGCATTTTGTGAGCAATTATGGGCAGTTATTCATTTAAAAAAAGTTTATTGATTTTAAGTATAACAGACAAAAAAATTCTGTATATTAAATTACTAATAACTATTTAAATAATTTATAAATAGTGTGAGCAATTGCAGATTTGAGTTGAACATTTAGTGAGCAATTATGAGCGCATATTCATCAATCTGATCGGTGTAGGAAAAAACAATTTTGTATTTTAAACTATTAATAAATAATTAAATAATTTATGAATAGTGTGAGCATTTGCGGATTTAAATTATGCATTTTCTGAGCAATTATGAGCACTTAGTCATTTTGAAATTGGTTTATTGGTTTTAAGTATAATAGACAAAAACCATTCTGTATTTTAAATTATTAATAACTAATTAAATAATCAATTAATAGTGTGAGAAATTGCAGATATGAATTGAGCATTAAGTAAGCAATTATGAGCACTTATTCATTAATCTGAATGGTTTAGGAAAAAACAATTTTGTATTTTAAATTTTTAATAAGTTATTAAATAATTACTTAATACTGTGATCATTTTCGGATGTCAGTTAAGCATATTGTGAGCAATTATGAGCACTTATTCATTTTAAAATTGGTTTATTGGTTTTAAGTATAATAGACAAAAACAATTTTGTATTTTAAATTATTAATAAATAATTAAATAATTTAGTAATAGTGTGAGCATTTGCGGATTTAAATTAAGCATTTTGTGAGCAATTATGGGCAATTATTCATTTAAAAAAAGTATATTGACTTTAAGTATAATAGACAAAAAAAATCTGTATTTTAAATTATTAATAACTATTTAAATAATTAATTAATAGTGTGAGCAATTGCAGATTTGAATTGAGCATTTAGTGAGCAATTATTAGCGCATATTCATTAATCTGATCGGTGTAGGTAAAAACAATTTTGTATTTTAAATTATTAATAAATAATTTAATAATTTATTAATAGTGTGAGCATTTGCGGATTTAAATTAAGCATTTTGTGAGAAATTATGGGCAGTTATTTATTTAAAAAAAAGTTTATTGGTTTTATGTATAATAGACAAAAAAATTTCTGTATTTTAAATTATTAATAACTATTTAAATAATAAATTAATAATGTGAGCAATTGCAGATTTGAATTGAGCATTTAGTGAGCAATTATGTGCACCTATTCATTAATTTGACCAGTCATACTTCCAAGCCAACTTCTTTGTGCTGGGAAAGCATCGAAGATGACCCTGCCCGGGCGGGCCAATAACAGCGGCTACAGAAGAAAATGTGAAACTTATTGTAAAACTTGTATTAGATGATGCACGAGTAAGAATTAAGATGTTAGCAGTAATGACTAACTTATCCGTTGGTACCATATACACAATATAACCTCACAAAAGTCAATGCAAGATGAGTGCCGCGAACACTCACAACACTTCAATAGCAGGAGTGGGTTGATTGTTATAGGGAGTTTTGAAGCTGTGTGGTGACGACCCAACAAGTGTTTTCGATAGGATAGTTACAGGAGATGAAACGTGGGTTCACCACTATGTCCCTGAGAGTAAATAGAAGTTTATGCAATGGCATAAAAAGGGATCAGATCTCCCCAAGAATTTCAAAGTCTCTTTATTGTCCGGTAAAATCATGGCCACAGTATTTTGTAATTCCAAAGGAATACTACTCGTATTGATCGAGTACACGAAAAGGTGAAAGGTACATCAACGCAGACAAATACTCAGCCACTTTACGCCGTTTGAGAGAAGCGATAAAAGAAAAGAGAAGTGGAAAGCTGGCCAAGGGAGTGCTCTGCTTCTTCATGACAACGCACCGGTTCACACGGCACAGCTCTTCAATGCTGCTGTACAAGCTGACGAGACTGCGCGTTTGAGAAAATTAACCACAGCCCAGATCTAGCCCCTATTGATTACTTTTTATTCCCAAACTTAAAAAAAGATCTTCGGGTAAAGCGATTTGCTGACGACTGACGACCCTTTTTCTAGGACGTTCCATTTTACACACTGCTTAATTACACTATGTTAATTAACTTGTTTATCAAAAATCTCTGACTTAATTGAACTCTGTTTCTGATTTTTCAACATTATTTTATGTTTTATTGAATCAGTATTTCTTTATTAGTCTTTGTATAGTACAGATTAATTAAAAATAACATAATAATTATATAAATTAATGAGATGAAACAGACTTTTTTTGACATTTGACAGTTGTACGATTGGCATCGGCGCAGTCTTTCGTTGTTGCCAAAGAGAATATAATCACTTGCTGCGTTTACGTCTCGTTGTGTATTGTGCTACTTTGTGTGTTTTCATGGATCGTATAGAAAATTAAGTATTTGGTAACGGCAAATACTAACCTAAAGAGTAACATTAATATTTTTGGGCTTCGTAGCGTTTAAATCGTAAAAATGACTGCATGACATTATTTTTTAACTAACAGGAAGTTTTTGTACTATACCTTATAACTATACATAATTTTTTACTATCAGGTTTTCAAATGTATGAAAAGTGGGCATGGTTTTTTTTTTTGCTGTACCATAACGCGCAGCAGCTCGCCTGGTCCCTGTGTCCTTACCTCACTTAATGCTCTCCTCGACACAAATCCTGAGTGCGACTTGTTTGCGGAGTTTTGTGAGCGAGAAGAATTAATATGGTGTCTTTAATAAATCTAAACCGTTTTAATGAAAGTAAAAATAAATAAACACATTCAGGACGTTGTAGACATAGGCAGTTATGCTCTGACGGCATAGCAGCACTGCCATATTTTCACTAATTGACACACACTAATTTGAAGTGCTGGCGCATTCAATACTATCGAGACAGACTAGAGACCGCCAGTGAGCTCATTATGAGTACCTGGTGTATATGGTGTACAGAGATGCATGTCGCAATAGTCTTAGAATGTGGTTAGTGTGTCCGTTTTGTTATCCTACCAGTGTTTGTGTTCCTTGATAGTTACATACATACATTTATATATACTCCGATCTCTAAAAACCTTGTATTTTATTTGCCATTTATATTATATACATAAATGCACATAACTAGGCATAATATAACAAATCTTTTTGACCCGTTATTAATATTTTACTTGTGTTTGTAATATTATTGACCCTGAATTGTAATAATGTTGGATCTAAAGTTTTACTTTTAGGCTAAGTATCTTATTGCCAATTTCACAAAATATGGAATAATAGAAAGTAATCTTGTCATTTGATAGGATTCTGTTTCTGATTTATGGTTTAAGTTGGATTTGGATACTCAAAGTGTATATGATTTAATGAATTAAATATCTGCATTTATGAATTATTAATGGAAACAATGTAACTAGAGAAAATATAACAAGTATTTTTATCCGCTAAGGTGCCTTGAGATACTATCGTCATTAACTTTCTGCTTCCAGAAGAATTTAATTACCACGTTTAGTTCGCTGAGAATCAAGTTATCATCAGTCTCAAAAACTTTGCAACGTGACGCATCATTAAGCATATTACACACGTAATACACGTCAGACTAGGATGTATGGATATCGATCTCTTTGCCTTCAAATAAAAAATAAATCCTAAATGACATGACATTACATTGACATTTGACATTGTCTTTGTTATTAAAACATGGCGTCTCACAAAACTTACATCTTACAACTTTTACAATAATATTTCATGATTTGCTACGTACACATGTTGTAAAGTAATTTTAAAATGTTATAAAATGTATACTCTTTTACACGGCTTTTACAAATACATTATACAAAAAGACGAGTACTGTGTATTAATATTAGGGCTCGATAATGCTGGTAAAACGGTACCTATCTAAAAAAAACTCAATATTATTGTACTATATTCTAGAAAGCCCCTTTAACGAATACGTTTCCCTGTTAACATTGTAAAATACACTTTTTTCCAGACTTATTTGGAGGCTACTAAAACGAAATACACTAAAAAGTATAAGGCTATGAACCCCAATAGAATAACAACGACTGTAGGGCTAAATATAGGTAAAATTGATGTAGACGGCGTAAGGTTAAATTTTTGGGACCTGGGTGGACAGCAAGAGCTACAGTCACTATGGGATAAAGTATGTTAACAAAAAAAAAGTTCCTATCTAATTGTCTGTGGACTTCAGTGAACACATAATATCACATCTACCTTGTGTATCTTTTTAATATTATAAAACAGTACTATAATTTAATAATTAATTTCAGTACTATGCAGAATGCCATGCCGTAATTTACATAGTGGACTCATCTGATAGAGAAAGAATTTCCGAATCAAAAGAAACATTTGGTAAGGTTGTCCACATTATTATTGTGGCATTTTAAGTATTATTGCTGTTACATAATATGCATAATGTGTTCTTTAAGATTCAGAGTAACAGGTGTAAGTGGTAAGTTCGTTATTTGCTAGTTAGTTATTATTTCACTAACATTCACTTGCTCTATATACTTTCTCCTGTAACTTTAAGCTGAAAAGCCTTTAGATAATTATTTTAGTTTTAGAAACTATTAGGTATAATGACAATTAAATCAACCACAACTATTTAAGAAGGAATGTAACTGTCATATGAGATTTTTTGCATTTTTCATGTGCTGACTGAAGACACTGCCAACATACTGTAGCCTTAAATTAAAATTAAAAAAAAACTATCTCAAAAAAGGGAAATATTTACTTAGTAAGCACTTATTTAAGTTCTAGGCTCATTTATATGCATATTATGGTGGACTTACCGCCTAATGAAATTGGCTCCCAGACAACCTTCGATCAAAGCAGATGACAGGCTTTTGCTAGGTATTAGGACTCCTGTACTACCTAGGAGTCTGTCTGAGTAGTTACCACCCTCTTACCAATTTCTGCCGCAAATTAGCAATGCTTGTATTGCTGTGTTCCTGTATGTAGAGCCAGGGTATAGAGTATAATTAGAGACTGTTAGTTATTCCAACTTAATCCTCCAATGTAACAAGGCATCTGTAGCTTTTTTGTGTGATGTGTCACTTACTATCAGGTGGACTTTAAGTTTTTTAGTTATGGACACCCATGATGTTTGATGGCTCCATAGCGCAGTGGCACTGAGTTGCAGCACTGAGAGCTGCGGGTTAGAATCCAGCATGGAACAAGTATTTGTATGGCCTATGGTATTTTTCCGGGTCTGGATTTTTGTTCTTGTGCAATTTATTTATGTTAACTGCCTCCATGATACAGGCGTAAATCCTAGTGTGGGGATTACATTTTGAAAAAAAAAACAGAAAGAAAAGTTTTATAAAAACAAAGGATGTGCATCTAAAAAAAAAGTGATTTATTTACTAAGGGAAAAGCTTTTCAAGCAAATTCTGTGAAATCTTAAAACCTAAACCTAAATAACATAAAATCGGGAAATATTAGAGTAGCCAGTAATGGAGTGTGATGTCTATATATTTAGATATCAGATGCCATATCTGATTCTAGATCTCCAATATACTTATTAAATGTAGTGATTACGGTAATTACTCTTGGATGAAACAATTTATTGAATAAAACTTTTTTTTACGGATTTTATCGCATTTAATTTACTATTTAAATTCCCATTGTTTCGGGTGCTTTAAAGCAACTCATGGTCATGGGGGGACTGAGATGTTTGACGTCCCAATGTCACAGCCTGGCTGTTTGGTTCGATTTACGCAGAATGAACTTACAGTATCTTGAAGTCTAGCAGTGGTATGCTTGGGTTTGGATTTAATTTTGTTAATTGTAGGATCCCAAGCAGATGGCAGCACCCATCCATCTTCTCTATTGAAATTAGCATGTTTTTTTAATTTCAATAGCCTCGCGTATCATCCTTGGTAGGAATCGGTATACTTTTGAGAGGATTTGTGGTCTATCAAATCTGATATAATGGCGGGGACGATCTTGAACATGTCCACAGACTGCAGACTTCCCAGAGTGTCGGTGCTTCACTTCAGCTATATGTTTTTTCACTCGGGTTTTAATGGATCTTTTTGTTTGTCCTATGTAAGAGAGACAACATTCGCAATTAAGCTTGTACACTCCTGTATCTTGTAGAGGGATATTACACTTGATGGATGGTAAAAATTGACTAATCTTCGGCAGATTGAATTATGTTTTAATAGAAGCTCGCTTCAAAATGTAGCCAACCTTGTTTGTGACTCCTCTGACATAGGGTAGTACAGCAGGCACACGCTCGACTGTGGTCGGCTTCACTTGGTCACTGTGACATAGGCGCGGGACCCGAAGCTTGTTGTCTTGCAATACTTGCTTGACATGCTGAAGTTCGGCGGCCAGATATTTTCTGTCACAGATCCCTCGTGCTCTCTGAAACAAAGATTTTCCCACGGTAGCTAACTGTGATGGATAAAAAATCCGTAAAAAATAGTTTTATTCAATGTGTAGTATTCACGTAAATATAAGAAATCATTATGAAGCAATTTATTTTAGGAGCTGATAACTAAATGAAATCATTCATTTAAATCACAATGTAATATAGGGATGGCGATCTAAGATCGATTAATCGAAGAATCAATTTTTCAGGCCCCTTAGATCGATTTTTTAAATCGATGTGCAGAAGTGAATCGATCCAGTGAATCGATATTTCACCCTTGAAAATCGCCATTCGATTTTTTTTTTGTTTTGGTAAAAACCGTAAAATTATTTACAATTACTTGAATGTATCCGTACTATTACGGTGTTGCCGGTTAAAGGGTTAATTACTCAAAAACTCGCCAGATAGCTGTATGCTTAGTTTCCTTCGCCTCGATTTAATTAAAAAAAAGTTAGGTTTGTAGTCTATGACTTTTTGTATTTGTTGATTGCGTCATTCATATTTGTTTATATAAACAAACTGTATCGTAATATAAAATTGTAATTAGCGAAATAAATACTTATTTTTGTTTATATATATTTTGTGTATATATAGCACAGTAATGCACTTGCGCCGGAAAGTCAGGGCTTAAACGAAGAATTTAAACACTATTTATCGCAGGCAGCTGTGCACCTGAAGTATGATCCCATACTGTTCTGGCAAGAACAAAAAAACTCTATTTATCACGACCTTCACTCCATGATACTCATATACATCATAGCCATGATGTATATGAGTATCATGGGATCATCTGTTCCTAGTGAGCACCTTTTTTCAATTGCCGGCAACATCGAAAGTGATAAGCGGAACTGCTTGGATCCCAATAGACTTGCCAGACTATTGTTTTTAAAAAGTTTAGATATGAAGCGTTGGGAAACTTTCTCACGTAATAAATACATTTTGAAAATAAATGTCTTCTTTCATACCTGATCTGACTTTGATATGGTAATAAAAATAATTGTTATTATCGAATACCCTGAACTAAAAAAACTAACTTTACTGATAAGAGATCATTTATTATGGTATCTTTCTTGTTTTTTTATAAAATGTATTTATATTTACATTATAAATGCAAACATGAAAAAATATCGATTTTTTATAAATCGATCTTTTAGACCTCGATTTTTTTGTGAATCGATACTTCAGCGTACGATTCGGATCGATTTAAAAATCGATCTTTTTCGGAAAGAATCGACATCCCTAATGTAATAATAAAGTAACACTTATATGATATATGATAGATATAAATTAATTTATTGGTTTTGTATAAGTTTAGTTTATGTTGGGTGTCCATGATAAACTAAACTTATACACTCCAAAACTAAGTGCATAATTTATAAGGCTTTCAAAACCCTTTAATTTTGTTATTTATTTATTTAACAATTTATGTCCACATAAACAAAGGTGAGCGCATGTCATGATGAGAGTATGTGCAAGGGCTCTACTTATTTCATGATAAAATTTCTTCCAGTTGGCCAGGTACAAAGATATATGATAAATAAAAGAAATATACAGCACATACCACACCTAAGTTGAAAAGTGCAGGCATGTTATTTCTTGGTATATAGTCAGATTGCTAATATGGAGAGCTCAAGGTATCATATGGAACCTTTCTCATATTTCAGAATGATAATGGTAGCAAATTTTAAGATGCCTTTTGAATAGTGACAAACACTATCAATGTTTCTCTTGTTTCTCCAGTATATTCATTCTCCTTCATCAATATATAATTTTCTATTACAACAGTTCTATTAGGCATTTCATCCAACTTAGGGGTTAAATTTTCCAAAAACTTTTCTCTGCCTACGTAACAAAAATAACCTATTGTCCCAATTTCAGGCTTCTATGTCCAGTGGTTTGGGCTATAATTTTTAATACAATATTTTTTCATACAAACTTCGCACCCAGGTTAAGGGTCACATTTCTGTAAAAATAAATAATAGATATTTCATTATTTGAGTTCGATAGTCTTTGCACCACTTTCAAGTTAAATTTTTTTTCTCCGTACAAGTTTTTTCTCCCTGTGGCCTCCCTGTAAAGGGTTGTTTTGAAAAATCCCTAACTATGTGTTCATTTACTCTATTGTCTTGTAAAATAAAAAGTTTCATAGAAACTGTAACATCCTATTTCACATCAATGTCAAATATTTAAATAATAATGTAATATTAGATGGGGAGGAACTGAGTCTTGTCGATACCACCATTTTTCTTGGAATAACACTACACGCGAAGCTTTAATGGAGCCCCCATATATCCAAATTAGCAAGCAGACTTAGTTCTGCAGCATATGCTGTAAAAAAGATTAGAAATCTTGTCGGTGTGGAAACAGCTAGACTTGTTTACTTTAGCTATTATATCAATAGCATAATGTCGTATGGTATTTTTCTAAGGGGACACGCGACTGACACCGAAATTATATTTGTTTTACGGAAGAGGGTCATAAGAGCAATCTATGATTCAAAACCTAGAAATAGTCGCTCCGACAAAAATTTAAGGAAATTAATATATTAACTTTGGCCTCTCAATACATTTATGAAAATGTAATGTATATACACAAAAATAAAAGTAGTCTTACAAAAATAAGTGATATTCATTCTGTAAATACTAGGAACAGACACAAGCTAGTAGTACCAGTTACTCGACTCCATCGAGTCAGTAATTCATTATAGGGGCGACGTACTTTCTTTTACAACGAAATCCCAGAAACTATACAAAATATGACCTGATCAAAGTTCAAAAACTTTATTAAACTAAGTTTGTATAAAAAGGGTCTTTATAATAATAAGGAATTTATGGATGATAATAACCCCCGGGATTAGGTGATCGCTACCAAGCTATTACTAATTTTTTTTGTGTGGTTAATTGTGTAAAGTACATGATTGTAAGCTGTTATTTTAAAAAAATTCGTATGGTGAGTGTAGAGAACCGGAGACCCTTTTTACTGAAAAAGAGGCATTCTATCATAGTACTCACGGCCGACAACGCATCTGCATTTTAATTCGCAAACGAAGATAGATGTAGATGTCTATGGGCCACAGCAACCACTTACCATCAGGTGGACTGTGTGCTCGTTTGTCACCCTTATTCTATAAAAAAAGTAGAGTAACCGACAGCCCAACGGATTAGTAAAGTGGCAATGGACCAGCCACATAGCTCGAAAAACCGACAATCCATGGGGAAGAAAGGTTCTGAAGTGGCAGCCTCGTACCGGTTAGACGAAGTGTTGGGCGTGGGCCACTAGATGTAGTGACGACCTGGTAAGATATGTAGTAAGTTGATGAATGCAGGTGGCTTAGGACTCTACTTTGTGACATTCCTTGGAGGAGGCCTATGTTCAGCAGTGGACTTGTGAAGTGCTGTAATGATGATCATGATGATTTGTCGTCCCTCAATTTTCATCTGATGACATTTTAAAAATATTATTACTGTTTTTAAAATATCATTATAATATTACGGAATTAGTGAAAGGCAAGCTAGCCGCCCACCTGATGGTTAGTGACTGATATAGTTCCATCAACTCAACACAAAGAAGTTTACAAAGATTTAAGATACATTGTCACCCCCAAGGACTAACATCTAACAACTCACAGCCTTTATTTATACTGGCCCTCTTACCCTTCAAACATAGCGGTGGGTTAACTGCTTCTTGGTTGCAAAAAGGTGAGACTCCTCAAGTAGAAGAGCCCTTATATTTGTCAAATTGTTCAAAATAAAATTAACTTTTTCACTTAGGTGCAAAAGCTAAACTGACTATTTGTTTTAGATAAGATGATAGCTTCAGAACATTTGTCTGGAGTTCCACTATTGGTGCTAGCTAACAAACAAGACATTCCAGATTGTATGGGTGTACACACAGTTAAACCAATATTCAATCAGAATGCACATCTAATTGGTGCAAGAGACATTATGCTAATGGCAACATCTGCTTTAACTGGGTAATTAATTTATTACTTAATTTACTAATTTTTGCTCAATTATTGAGGAATTTTAATCACATTAATTACTTAAGCAATTTTTGCATATTGATTAGAAATTGTTAAGTTGCCTAAAGTTTTATTCTCCGTCATGGAGATGGGGAGAGTCGTCATGATGAACTCTTTCTTTCCAATGCGGCCCCACAGAAAGGGAGATTGAGATTGTTTCTTGACGTTTTCCCTCATTATGACGACCAGACGGCAGGCAACTGTTCCGTGATGTGTCAGTGATCGCGAGGGTGAAAACTAGTAGCGATCACCGAATGGTGAGAGGCACACTGAACATTATCGTTAAGTTGAAGAGTTCATACAGTCAACACTACAGCCGCCTCGTGCTCTAATCCAAAGTTCCGAAAACTTTCATAAAATAGTTTCAGTGGCCAGAACTAAGGCCAACCCAGGCTACAAAATCTTTGTCAGAGGTCTATCTGCCAGAAACGGCAAACAGTCGAAATTGAAGCCCGACTGTGGCAGCGTCGTTTCCGGGACACGTGATTTTGAGTGAGATTGCAAGGTTCTACGGACAGATGTACTAATGTTCGTTAGAGCTACACGCAAATATATAACGGAACAGCATCCGATACTATTCCGATAATATCCAATATGTCTGTTTGAAATTAGAATAGTCCTCCAGCATCTTAAGAATGGAATTGCAGCGAAGTTTCTGAAAGCGGGTGAATAACCGGTGACCGAAAAAGGATACTCTTCAAAACTACAGACCAATCTCCCTTCTACCTTTCTACTGCAGCTTCCATGCCGTTTTTAAGGGACATTATGAATCGTTAATCACGCAGAATCGACGACTTCCTAACTGGTCGATTTCAACAAAAGGCTTTGGTAGTATAGGCCACATACATACATATAGCGTAAAATTTGCCACTATCTTGAATATGTGGACTATGAGAAAGTCTTTGATTCCGTGGAAATAGGGCGGTGCTACAATCCTTTTGACAATGCTAATTTGACTGTCGGTATTTTGAAGTGCTGAAGTGTTTGTATTGTAGGGCTACAATGGCTATCCCATTACAGGAACCAAAGTACAAAACCTATCCAATGCAGAAAGTTGTAAGACATGATAACGTTAATTCTCCGGAACTCTTCCCCCCCCCCCCCCCTGTATTGAATGAAGTTTTCAAACTACTGGACTGGAAAGGATGTGATATCACTACTATCAATGGCGAGTACACCATTCACCTTTGATCTGCCGACGATATATTCGTTATGGCAGAATCGTTAAAGGATTGTACTATGCTCATAGACTTTGTCTTAAAATGTACTTGGATAAGATAAAGGTCAAGTTTAACGTCCTCGTCACACGGCATATTTCCAATTATGGTTGTTGGGAGCACAAAGCTCGAAGTTGTTGACGAGCATGTTTACTTCGGTCGAAGTTGGAGGTCAATCTACGGATCCTGCATCCAACTAGGCTGAGCAGCGTTCGGAAGATTACGATACATCTTCCGCACGTATACCTCAAAACTTGAAAACAGTAGTGATACAACCAGTGCGTCTTTCTAGTGATGACGTTACATTTATATCTCAGACGTGGTCCTTCACTACTGGCGATATGAGGAAGCTCAAGGTCTCTCGTCGAGCTATGGAGAGGGCCACGCTTTTTATGAGGTCTAGTTTCTCCGCGTGATAGACTTCGTAATAAGGATATCCATATTAGCTGGTTCTGCTGTGGATGTATAATATGGTAACCGACATAGCCCAACGGCATTGGTGAAGTGGGATTTTTCAGCTGCGATTCGTTGGGATTAATTTAAAAGTAAACATCGGATATCAACGAATGTGTAGTAGCAATAAGCATTTACTATTGCATCATCATCGTGCTATCCCCCAAAAAATTCAACTGTTACATATGGACTTTTGGTTCACACGTTAACGAATTCAGCACGCTTTGTCACACTGACCAATCCGTGGCGAACACAGTGCCAGACATCTCACACCTTTGACGCTATCGCCAGTTTTGTACCTATCTAGTATGAACTTTGAATCTACTCATTAAGTGGTATTAAATTATTAGGACTTACGAAGTAGTAAAGTACGGTCTCATTGATCTCTCGGTCGAAAGCCGTGCTTAAAAATGACCTCGCCAGGCTCTATTGGGACCGGGCCATCATTACAAACTCACCTATTTTTGCGAATAATCCTAATATTGTGGTATAATATCCTAATATATGCGATTTACTCACAAGATATTTTTAGTTGACATTACCGTTCCGTAGGTATGACGCAACCTCGTGAAAGCCGAAACCAATAAAAAATAAGCACCTGGACCTGGCTTACGAGGTGACCGACCGTCTCGTCTCTGCGAACGTTTGGCCTTTCCTTCCGAGGACTTCCGTTTTATTAAGTTTATTTATTTATTTAACTATATTGTATAAACAATTATGAATGCCAACCAAAATGAATACTCCAATAATAATAATAACTTTTTTTTTATTTTACAGTGACGGTGTTGATGAAGGAATCAAATGGCTAGTGGATTGTATAAAAAGAAACAGCATCGACAGACCTCCACGAAACCACGACGATAACTTATAAACTAATAACGAACCCGCATTTAATATTACGTTCACACTTATATACAATGAATAATAATGAGTTTTCCTATTAAGATAATGTGACTCGTCCCATTGTTTTGTATATATACTGTATTGACATTTGAAAATAAAACATTAATAGAATCGTGTCTATATTGCTGTCCTTTTCCAGTGATAAATTTTATTTTTGATAAGAAATACGTAATTATCGGATATTTGAGGAGTACCTGCACCTGATAAAACACTTCTGATAACAGTACAGTTTGCACTGTGTGTGTATCGTGAACTACTGTGTCGCACAAATGTTTTAGTGATATTAGTTTTGCGTGTTAAATGCAAAGATGGCTTATCCAATGTACGAAGTTGATTGGAGTGTTTTACCACCAGAACAAAATCGAAGGTGAGAGATATAAAAAAATAGAGCATAAATGGATGACCTTATTTTAACAACAAATGTGGTAAACGTTAATTACCTTTTGGCATAACCATATAGTTATTAATTTCAAAATAAAAATGAGTTTTTCAAAAAGTTTCCACGTAGCGATCGTTCAGTTAAGAACTTATGAACAAAAAATGGTTGTGTTTTATAGTTGGTTCATTGGTTGTCACTTATTAATCTGTGGTTGTCAATCACTTGTCAACAAATTTAAGAGAATTATGTGGGCTCCAGCCAGAGGTTGCAAAAAAAAGCAATCTTTATTTAATATATATTTAATTTAAAGTAATTATTACAATTAATTCTTATAACTAAGTGAGGTGACTCTAATTCGATGTTTGAATGTAGAATGGATTCACACGGTAAAATATTAGATCCAGGTAATATAAGACAGTAGACACGTTATGCTGACACGGCGCCTCGTGATCGTCGTAAGCCGATGCAACGCAGCAGATTGCCTGGATTAGGGCTGCGTAACACCTCCCCCCGAAGAACAGCGACTATGGAAGACCTTGGTCGTGAATTGAGCTGGGAGTTGATCGGGATCAATCTTCTCAGTGTCTGGAACAGCGTATACCCTTAATGATTTAGGATGGTCCTCTTCTGAGTTCCTTTGCGTACCTCCAGTTAGCTTCGGCTTGTATCTTCTATAGAGTATGCATAGAATCAGTGCACCTGCACTTATTATTAATGCGTAAAATGGTATTGTAGTATGATATAGACTGTAGTCATCGTTTCTTCTTAAATTCAATGGCGATTGCTGGGATATTTTAGTGTTCGTTGCATGAAGATGTTGGAGGTTTATTGAATTTAGTTTATATGCCGATGCAGAAGATGGGATGCTGGTGTGTTCCTCAGGTATGTCCATTATCTTTAAGGCTTGTCCCTTCAATCGATCTTTAGTATTTGAGATCGAGAATAGTGGCGTTTCTATGTAGCATTTCAGAGGGACAATAACGAGATAACTACCTTGAAGTATTTTGTAGAGATCTTGTCCACAGGATAGATGTACTTTCGTTGGTGTGGGGAAAGTGATGGTGTAATGCTTGTCGTCCAGTTCTTCGTAAGCTGGTTTATCTAGGGTGACTGTATACGGGTTACATACTGCATTCGTCTGTTGTTTAGTGATGAGGTGATGGATGCAATCAGGGGATGTTTGACCTCTCAGGCTCCGCTTTTCTTTACAGATGTACCATTTACTGGTCTTCGGGCATTCTGCCTCTATGTACTGAAAATCTTTCTGATAAATGGCTAGGAATGGAAAGGGTGGTGTGAGGATTTCGTGTCTCTTGTTAGGAACAATAGATAACTTATACATATCATATATATGGGGTAATAGAATTGGGAACTTAAATACTATTACTATTTCATTTCCTACATAATATGAACCTAATCTAATAATATCATAATATTCCCTAATATCTAAATCTCCTACCTTTTTATTTCCATAAAGTTCGGTTGCTCTGTTAATCATTATTCGGATAGATTTTAAATTAACTATAGAGTGGTGCATAGTGTTAGCTCTTATAAATGCTAAGTTGTTCTGTAACTTAATTAATTCCTGTGAAATGGAATCAACGTTATCACTAAGGATCATTAGTACTTGTCCAAAATGGGCATATTTAATTAGGTCATAGTCTCTGGTAGCCTCGGATTGATTTATTTTACCTATTAGTATTTCTAATTTATTTTGATTATCTACAATGCTATCTATTATTCTGGAGTATTGATTTGATAAATCTTTAGTTAGGCTTACATGATTATTAAATTCCGTAACGATTTTATTTTCGTCTTCGTGGATGGATTTTATAGCACGATTAAAATGATCTGCATCTGTATAATCAAGGTTACCAGTTATACTTTTTATGATGGAACCGAGACCATCTACAAGTCCTCTTTTCTCACGGTTCGTTTTAAAGCTACTCAACTGTATGGTGACACTTTCAAGCTTATTTTTAAGATAATCAATATGAGGCTGAAATAACGAATTGGTTATGTTGTTAAGGTTAGGGCTAATACTGATTAACTGTGTTTTAACTGAATTTACTTTATCTCCTAATTCCTGGAGATTTACATATTGCAGAAATGCATGGTAGTGGGATAGGATTCGAGCGGGGCCTAATTTGAAGGGTAATATACCAGGTCCATCGCTAAGACTTTCAAGTCTTATCTCCTGCATTAGAGCTGGTCCCAGAAGGAGATGAAGTACCAGGAGAGTCCTGTAACAATTGGTTCGTTTTAGGTATTCTCTTCAATCGAGTTTTTGCTACGGGGCCTCGTTTTTTCTTTGTATAAATGTGAATTGGGAGGTTTGCCATAACTGTGTCGTGTGTGTATCGAGGAGCTAATTTCTGACGGGATGCGAATGGATTTTTTATAAAGATTTGTTGTTCCGGGGAATATTCAGCTTCCTGTTCTCGGTTTTTATTGCGAGTATTAGTCAAGTCTTTACGCATGTCGTTACATAGATCGTGAATAGTTTTATAGGTCTCAGTCATTCTGTCTTTGTGGTTTACGACGTACTGTTGAAGTAAGTGGGCGGACAGATCTATGTCAAAAGGATCGCGAGGGTCAAAATGTCCTGTAATTACTTCTATTGGTTTGCATTTTGTGAAGCTATGTATACTATGATTGTAAACTAATAGGGCATAGGGCATAAGGTTAATAGCGGATTCATTCTTTTGATTTATCTTTAAAATACGGAGATGTTCTAATATGGTGGCGTGAAATCGTTCAACGATACCATTTTCGTTGGGTGCATGTGGGGCTACTCTATGGTGCTGAATTTTATGAAGTCTAACGAATTCTGCAATAAGTTGGTTGGTAAACTCAGGGCCGTTATCGGAAACTATGGTAATTGGAATTCCATGATGTGTGCAGAAAATTAGTAAAGCTTGTACTACACTGACAGCAGTGCCGTCTCGCAAATAATACGCCTGAGCATATTTAGAAAAACTATCTACTATTGTCAAATACTTTTCCCCTTGAATTGTTAATAGATCTACGTGAACTAGTTCAAAAGGCTTAGAAGCTGGTGGTACAATTTTAAATTTCTGTTTAACTGGATTGCGGTCGTATTTAGCTTGTCCGCATACTGTACAGTCATTAATAAATTTAGTGATATGCTCTCTCATTTTCGGCCAGTAATATTTGCGGGACAAAGCCGAGAAACACTCGTTAATGCCTCGATGGTTCGTCTTTCCATCGTGATATTTATGAATGATTTCTTGCTGTCTTAAATACTCCCTAACATTTTCCAATTCAGTTTTTGTTAGAAAAAGGTTAAGAGATGAACTTTTAAAAGACTTTTGTATGATTGGTATGACAGTGTACATTGCAGAGTTTGGATTAATGAGTAATCCTGTCCTAATTTTCGGATGGACGTATTCTTTTATAGCATTAATGACATCCTCTTCTATGTTTGATTGAGCTATTTGTATCGTAATGCGTGTGTGTGTTTCGAATGGTTTAGTGATGACTGGTCTAGCTTTTATGTCGCCTACTATATTTAAGATTATCTGTTTAGTAAACTTATTTAGCGGTTCGTCAGAAATGGGAACTTCCAGGATGGGGTTTTCTTTATCTGTATGAACGGTGATGGTTCTGGAATCGTCTGCGGCTTCGGTAGCCGTTATAGTCCTAGAGTCATCTAAAGTGTGTACCCTTTCGGAAGGGTTAGGTAAAATGGAAAGCAATTCATCTATTATGGGTCTTAGCTCGTCATTGTGAAGTTCGATGCGCGATAGTGCATCGGCATTCGTGTTGCACTTGCCTTGCTTATATACGACACTAAAGTCATATTCACTTAACTTAAGGCGCCATCTGGTTAGACGCGAATTGGGTTCTTTTAAGCTCATAATCCATTGTAAGGGTTTATGGTCTGTAATAATTTTGAACTTACGGCCGAATAAATAGGGACGGAAATACTTAGTCGCCCATACGATAGCTAAAAGTTCCTTTTCTATCGTGCTATAGTTACTTTCGCTGGAGTTAAGTGTACGAGAAGCATATGCAATGGGTTTATCTGAACCGACTGTTCCCTGTGATAAAACTGCACCAATCGCCACGTTTGAGGCATCGGTTGTCAAAATAAAATCTCTACTGAAGTCTGGATACTGTAAGATTGGGTCATTTGTTAAGAGAGTTTTACAGTGTTCAAAGCAGTTAATATAATTTTGATCTAATGTTATCTTTGATCCCTTTTTAAGACATTGAGTGAGTGGTTTTGTGAGACGTGCGAAGTCTGGTATAAATTTTCTATAATATCCTAGAAGTCCTAGAAAACGCTTAATTTCGGTTGTAGTTTTTGGCAGTGGGTACTTTTCGATGGCTTTAATTTTGTCTGGGTTGGGTTTAACCCCGTTTTTACAAATAACATGACCTAGAAACTCGGTTTCCAGCTTCAAAAACTCTGATTTATCCATCTGAATTTTGAAGTTGGATTCCCGTAGCCTTTTGAATACTTTTTCCAGATTTGTCATATGTTCTTGTAAGGATGTACTGAAGACAATTATGTCATCTAGATACACTAAGCAAATTTCGTTCTGTAAGTTCTTTAATACGTT